TAGTTGAGTTCAAGTCAGTGATTATCCTGGAACTGAGTGTATTACGTCTTTTAACTAAAATTGGCATGCGAATTGAAACTCAAAATCGTATTTAAAAATTATAGTAAGAATTTCATACATCTGTCAAAACTGGTATTCCAACAATAAATTGACATGTTTTGATTGTTGATTTGAACCAATCAGATTGTAATTACGCGATAATTTGCACTAGTGCAAATTATCAGATAATTGCATACTAACTGGTGCGAAAATTTGTGTTTTGACAGTTTTTGACAAAAAAATTAAATTTTTGATTTATGAAATTCTCTCATTAAATACAACTCGTGCAATGGAAATATATTTATAATTTTCGACAAATTTGCACTCATGCGTTTTTAACTGAAAAAGGCACTCGTGCACTACATGCACTCGTGCTCTTTTTCAACTAAAAATGCATTCGGGCAAATTTCCCAAAAATTATCAATAATTTCCATTGCACTAGTTATATTACTATTGAAATTTTTTTGACAGTTCTAACACCTAGTTAAATTTTATTATTTCTTGTCATGTCTGAGTCACAAATCACCCAATCATGTCAAAATTATACTGAAAACAGCCCATGGGTTCTTTCACTCTATGACATTGTCACGGACATTGCTGTCAAAAAAAAATTCAATCCGAATAACCCAGTGGCGGTCCATACATGATTTTCTGGGGGGGGGGGGGGGGGGGGTAATGGATGACGGGAAAATCTTCAAGTGTCGCAACGCCCAAATTTGCACCTGAAAGTCGTTTAAAAAACACGCTTCGGGCAAAAATGTATCCCGATGCCGTCAAAATATTAATACAGGGTGTCCACTTACTGCGATATCGGACGATGTCGTCTTACAGGGTGATGCAAGAAAAAAAAATAAAAATTCAAAGTTGTTTGATTCTTAAGCTGCATAACTTAAAAATATTTTCAAATATACAGGGTGCTCTGTAAATGGGGTATGCGACAAAACTTTGTTATTTTTAAATGGAACACCCTATATTTTAGACATTCTATCGTTCTACACCTTTTCCAATTGTAATTCAGAAAGCGGAAAATGTATTTGAGAAAGGGAAATTAAGTTTCAGAAAATGGAAAATGTAATTCAGAATAGGAAGTTATTATTCAGAATATGGAATTTGAAATTCAGAAAAGGAACATAATATTCAGAAATGGGAATTTGTAATTCAGAATAGGAATATGTGATTCAGAAAGGGGAAATTTAATTCCAGAAAATGTAAATTGTAATTCAGATATGCAATTTTGAAAATCAGAAATAGGAAAATGTAATTCAGAATCATGAAATATCTATGAGTGTTTTTTTTTAATCTTGTGTCGCTGAAGACGGGACTGCTACTTGCGTTTATTAAATTATCATTTGTACAGTTTTACATAAAAATGTTCTTTGCGAATCCAAAATACAAAAATCGTATTCATACAAATTCAATTTTTATTCAGTTACCCTATACGTAAGCAGATAATAACATACCTCTAAAAAAATTACCAAAAAGTATGTTGATAACTTAATTTCCTCAAATGCAATTCAAAATTTCAGTTACTGACCAACTGGCATATCCTTTAATGCTAGCGCCACGGCATGGAAGGTGGTTGAGTGTTGGGTGGTTCTCTCACTATCTGTATGTACCTGTGCTCTGCTCTGTATCTCTGTACATAGCTTATCGTGAGGTGCATATTATACTTTTCTGAATTACAAATTCCATTATCTGAAATTAAATTTTCACCGAGATTTTCACCTTCTGAAATACAATTTCCCTTTTCTAAATTATAATTTACAGTTTCTGAATTTCAATTTACTATTCTGAATTACAATATTGCTTTTCAGAATTTCAACTTCCTAATCTGAATTTCATTTTCCCTATTCTGAAATTAAAGTTACAATTCTCAAATTCAATTTCTCTTTTCTGAATTATAAGTTCCTATTCTGAAATACATGTTCCCTTCTCTGAAATTAAAGTTTTATTTTCTGAATTACAATTGAAAAAGGTGTAGAAATCCTACATACTTTTTGTTAGGAATCATATACCAAAACTCAGCCGTTTTCAAAATATTTAATATTTTTTCAAAAAATCGCAGCTTGTGTCAACAAAAACCAACATATTTCATCCATTGGAGATCGTATAAGCTAAAGCTTCTCAGGTTGTTAGTGCATAATTACTATGAAAATCTGTTAACATTCTACAGGGTGTTTGCAATACTGTACAGAAAACCAGACGTTTCTAACAACCATAGCACTGCATAGTAGTAGGTACGCACGGTTGTTTGAGAGAGGTAGGTTGCCTGATAACTTCATGACGTCATCTGGGGTGCCTCAACATAATGCAAATCTGCATAAGGCACCCCAGATGCGTCATCAAGTTACCCATTACCAGACAACCTATGAACTTTGAGAACCTTGGTAGGTTCGTCGGTACTGGTGAGCCTATCATCTTCATATGATGCCTTTAATTTATTTACTTTGTAGAACTTGCCTTTGGTTGAAATTTTGTTGTAATTAAAATGTTAAAAAAAAATCTTAGTCTGGGGGGTAATTACCCCCTCTACCCCCCCCCCCCCCCTTTAAACCGCCCTTGGAATAACCCTCGAACATTGATAAATGCTCAAAAATGTTATAACAACTTTCTCAAGCTTGTTGCCTATAGAAAACAGACCTCCGCTGACGCGTCGGTCTGTTTTCAAGCAACAAGCTTTCGAAATCTGTTATTAATTTTTTTCGGACAATTATCCGTCCTTGGGCTATTACTACTGATAATTTTGTCTGAGAATGGATATTTTCGGTCGAAACGTCGAAATTTCAGAACATGTTGTATATGGCGTATTTTAGAATGTCAAAAACGAACAAATTTTGTAACAAAATATCCAGGTCCGTATTACAGAAAATTTGGTCGGTGATGGCGTTTGAAAACCGAAACGTCGAATTTCTAAAATAATATCACCACAGTAAAGTCCACCCAAAAATGCTTCAAAAAAGTTATTTTCATTTTTCTCGATCTCTTGAAATAGAGCCTGGAGAAAATAAAAACCAGAATCGCAATTTCAGGAATTTTCCGGATATTTCCGAGAGTATTAGGAATTTCTCAAATTTCAAAACGTCATATTGTTAAGCATCAAAATGCGCAACTTTTGTCTAATTTAACCACCCTCCTATCTCTAATGGTTACCGATATTCCTATGTTGGCCCTCGAATTTGGGACACCCTGTACACAAAACATCTACAGAAACTCAAGTTGCTGATATAATGACAAAAGCCTTGTTCAAACCAAGACACGACATGTTATGTGATAAACCAAGATTTCTAATGAGGGAAGGTGTTGAAAAACCTTCTTAAGTGCGACGATTTAATCTGATACTCCAAAGGAATGTGAGCTGGTGGCTCCCTACGTTAGAACGCCAATTGTTACCTGACTTCACACCTGTTTTTGCCATATGGTCCACCCCCTCGCTCCTCATACGGAAAGTGTCAGATTAAAAACGACGGACAATACATCATTTGAATCATGGTTTCTCAAACTTTAACAGGCTGCTGACGCTGCCCGAGGATATGGCTGGAGAACCAGTCCATTAGTGAGAAATGTATGGTTGATTACTTTCTTTCAATTTGTTTATTGTCTATCCTCGCAATTTCGGGGTTCGTGAGATACCAAAGAAGTGCAAAATTTCTAGTTCCTTATCTCTGAAGTAATACTGAAACTTGAAACTCCTACCACAGCATATACAAAAACAGTCAGCAGGCTAACTTGAGTGACAGCCCGTGTTATATAGGAATTTATCGTCGAAATGTCACTAGCAGCCATTTTGGGATAAGAAACAGGGCCTGATTAACGATAATTTAGGTTTTTTCTTTCCTGTCACAGAGTCGTATTGGCTTTAAATAAACTGATTTGTTATTAGTTACATATAATAATATTTATAATTGCTAATTTATTATTATTATCATCAAATATACAACAATGATAACAGATAACACTATAAATGACAACACGAATATACTAAAATCACTTCGAAAATCATAACTAAAATTCCGCTCTACACCGCACGCCTATGACCTCCGTCAGAAACACAGATCACCTAATACAGATGCGAAAGTATGTATACTTGCTGTCGACGATATTACGTGAGCATGTTCCAGCCTGTGTGTTTACATATTTTTGCCGGTAGAAAAAAATATTTTTTTGCTGTTTGTGAACCAATTAAAGAAATAATATTATATTATTGAGCTTCCGCATTTATATAATAAATATGTTCAAAATACATTGATGTGGCATTGGTGCGGCCAGCCTATGTCTATCAAATTAATCTTGAACCACGAATTCGCCGCTCTTTCGCATCTGTATGTTAGTAATTTGTGTCAGAAATAAACAAATGTAATTAAACTTCGGCGCCCCTGCCGTTTAATGACAGGATGGTATCCCCTAATGGCGGCATGCGCAGAAAAGATGCGCGTGAGAGTTAGCCTGCTGATTGTTTTTGTCTTATATGCTGTGCTCCTACTGTCAAAGTTAGCTGTAATCAACTCTGCTCTGGTAAATTCAGAGAATTTTTTCGGCGCTGGCTCTTAGACTATTACATTACAAGGATACTTCGTAGTAGTAGAAAAACTGTAATTTGTAATGACGTCATAGGTATACCAAGAAAAACGCAAATCACTTCTAACTATTCAAATAGCATCCTTATTTGTGCAGAAATAGAATGGAAAAATCGTGTATTTGGAGATTTGGATGCATTTTCTCTATCCTACGCAAATTTTGCTTGGTCTTGGTGTTAGCCTAATACAGATTTTTCAGGTGTGATGGTGTGGCCTAACAAAAACTTTTCTAATGATTAACCCGATTTAAGCGATTAAGTTTTTCTATTGCAGGATTAGCGCATGAAAACTTGTGGGTTTCAGGGCAATTTTTTCAATGCACATATAATATAAAGAAATTCTAACAAAAACGGCAATTGCCTTCCTACTAAACGCATGCATTCGCAGATCATTGAATACGAAAATCGCATTCGGCACTACTCCACGCCCGACAAAGTCTTTCGTTACTTTGCAACTCTTCAAGTTCAGGGCCCCACAGTCGATCAGCACGAGATTTACATGACTCCTGACGATTTTTTACGGTCCATGACTCCCGGATTAAAACAACCCGATGGTTAGTGAGTTTTCTTATGTTTATCCCTTTTATACCGTATATGTTTTTTTATGTTCATTTTAAAATAGTGCCCATTTGGTTTTTGTATAGTCTAAATGGCTTCGAAAGCTTTAAATTTGCTTCTAAGCATAACTTTTTTCTTTATTTGCTTTGTATACAAAAAAAAGCATGCTGCAAATTGCCAAAGACAAATACCATTCGATCCTTTAGAAGAGTCTATCTAGGATACGCCTTAAAAAATTTCATGATTGTTTTCTTAAGTGTGAGCTTATAGGATCTCAGACATTTAACGCTTAAATTTAAGGCTTTTGGAGAGGGGAAATTTTAATAGAAAAGTCTACACTTCTATCGTGGGTCGGGACACACTAACATTTTTCTTCAATTTTTAGGTCTAGGATTAGATCAGTACAAACGATATGATCCAAAAGTAAGTAATGCCATTGTTTCTTGGATAATATTTTTTCAAAGTACATATTTGCCTTTTTTTGTATTATTTTCTCCTCACAACTAAGTACAGTTATTTTAGTAAAAACTTTTCACATGAGTATTTAACTATATACACAAATCACGCCTATGTAAATATCTTCAATTTTTAAAATGTATACTCCATCTTACCCATTTATGTAATTACCTAATTAAGTATGTCTTGTATCAAAAACCACACACTTATTTTGTCTAATTTCTTTTTTCAGCACGGATTCCAGGTAATCCAGACAGAATATTTTAGTTGCATGCGGTCGCATACAAAATTGTATAGCTATAAACACAGGATAAAGTACTAGTATTGATAGCTATAGATTTGGGTTTAAAATTATTAAAGCATGAATTGGCAAAGCAAAATTTTTCACAAGCCGCATTTTTTGTGACGCTGGCTTAAAAAGCTTCTATTTTTTTTTTTTTGGAAGCACATTTTTTGAATTTATTTTTTAAATGGAAATTTTATTTGAAATTTGGTTCTGGTCCTTCTTAGTCTTCTGTATCCACCATTTGAAAAGTAGTTCACTAATTATTGCAGACAGTTATTGGTAGCTATTTTAACACCATTTATTCTTGTTGAATTTTAGCTGTAATCATGTCATAGCATTTCATGTGGGTAATAGGTTTCATTCATAAAATACATATTTCACTTAATATTCTGCAACAAACTAAAGTTTTGATAAATTATCTAGACGGTCCATCACAAATTAGATCTCACACTAGACGAAGATAGCATATTTTACAAACTTGGAAGTTCTGGACTTATCACTTTTTCTGACTATATTTTCCTACTCACAGTTTTGTCAAGTAAGAATTTACTTGGTATTAGTTGCTTTCCAATTGACTAGAAATTTTTTAGCCTCTCGTCGTCATTTTGAAATCGCCTTCAGAATGTTTGACTTAAATGGAGATGGTGATGTTGATTGTGAAGAATTTGAAAAAGTGGCCACATTAATCAGGCAACAAACAAGCATTGGCTCTAGGCACAGGGACCATGCTAATACTGGAAACACTTTCAAGGTATTAAAAATCATGCTTTTATTGAAAATGTAAAAAGGTTTTTTTTATTCTCAAGACACTCACTTACTTGTCTATCTAATTTGTCTTCAATTTATATATTAGCCTGATGCATTAGTAGTTTAACCTCAGAGTTTAACTAATCATTTCCGGAACTGCTAGCAACATAAATCGCAGAAAATAATTTGGTATTTTTTAATATTTTTTACAATAGACCGCGGTTTGCATGAAAAATACATCTTTACCTAATTTAATTTAAGGTTTATTTCAAATTAGGGTGTCAACTCTGCGTTGACAACGTATTTCTTTGGTCCCACGCTCAAACAAAAACTCACCATAGAAAAGTTCCTGGATTTCCAAGAAAAATTACAAAAAGAAATCCTAAGTTTGGAATTTCACAGGAAAAATCCCGATGAAAATGGAAATATTAGCGAAGCCGATTTTACTGAACTTTTGCTGGCTTATGCTGGTTACCCACAGAAGAAGAAAGCTAGAATGCTGAAAAGAGTGAAAAAAACGTAACAAAATAATAATTTTTTTCAAAAAATTGGTCCTCAAAATTGTTTTTATAGTTTCAGAGAGCACGGTAAAGGCATCTCCAGGCAAGATTATTTGAATTTCTTCCACTTTTTGAACAATATAAACGACGTAGACACAGCATTAACTTTTTACCATATAGCTGGAGCTTCCATAGATCAAGCAACGTTGAAGCATGTCGCCAAAACAGTAGCCCACGTCGATTTAAGCGATCACGTTATTCATGTAGTTTTCACTATTTTTGATGAAAATCGTAAGAAATTTTTTCAAATTATCTAAAATGATGTAAGCAACAGACCCAACCCAAATTCGCTAGCAAAAGCCGAGTTCTAAGGCATCGTCTGCACGACCAAGTATTCGGTTCATGAGGACTGTCTTTAGAAAAAAACCCGGAAAAGATCAGATGGAAAAATTGTAGGGACTTGGAGTAGGCAAAGAACATGGCTCATTCTCACACGACCTGATTCATTTTAAAATGTGTAAAAATGCTCATCAAAATATAGGGACGATTTCTCCAAGTCAATAAAAATTTGAACTGGCTTTGTATAAATTTGGTTTCCTTACCTTTGCAGAATATTTGTAAACCACATAGGCGTCGATTTGAATTAAAACAGATTTCCAGATCTGCAAATTTTTGTCCCAACAAGTTTGTAGGGCAGGTACTTGGTCAAATACGCCATAAGCTAATGCAATTCTGGCTGCCTTAAAGATTAATTTCTTGATAATTCTGAAGGGTTCATTGCTCATCATTTTGGATGGTTTCACCTTTCACAAAATATTTTCTCCTAATTTGGAAGTTTTTCAGAGGATGGTCAACTCAGTAACAAAGAGTTCATAGCTGTGATGAAGAATCGTCTTCTCCGAGGCCTAGAAAAACCGAAAGATACAGGATTTGTTAAATTTATGCATTCGATTCTGAAGTGTGCCAAGGAAACTAGACCTGCTTTATTGGATATTTAAATCTTGTTCTTATTGATCTAGCTTAAGAATAAAATTTACTACTTAAGGATTTACCTATGAATTAATGTTACTCATAAGCTTGTCAAATTAAAACTATAAGTGTTGAGTTATGAGTTATTACGGATTGTTACAGTTGCATATATATTTTCTATGAGCAATGTTTCCTGCTTTAAAAAACAAAACAAAAAGGTACTATAAAAATGAGTTTAATTTCCATTTTTACAAAGAAATAGTATAAAAAAACCACTACAAAAACAAATTAAAATTGTTAAAGTATATTCTAGGTATAAATATTTACTCGAAGGAATAATATTACATAAATTATATACAATAATTTTAGGGCAGACAAATAAACAAATCCATAACTTACATCTAAACCCTAAAACTAAGCATTACAGAAGCACCTCAAAACACATGATATCTGGCACTCCATTTCTGTTGCCATTGGGTCAGGAACTTGTAGTCAACAAATTTTTTAAATAGTGTTTTAATATCGGTCAATTAAGAAAGTGCCGTTCTGGCAGGCATCTCGTGGTTGCGTCATCATCGCTCAAGTTTTTGAAAATATAATTTTTTTTTTAAAAAAAAAACCTCCCACAGGGCTACAATTTTTATATGTTTCAATTTACATATCTTTAAGTGTAAAAAAAAAATTGACAACCTATTTCAAGGGTTGCAAGTATGTGCCAGAAGGTAGCAAAGTTGTCGTGGGATGATAATTCATAACCTGCTCCCACAAGGCTGAAATTTCGAGGGAATATTTTCTAGTAGAAAAGTTTTTTCCGGGCTATAATGCCGTGGTCCATTAGTATTTCTACCTAACGTTTCGTCTACTGCTGCGGTAGACATCTTCAGAGGCGGTGTGGTAGAGGACGAAGTGTTCCCTTCCATGTTTCTCCGATGACTGAATTCGACGTTAAGGGAACTGCGTTATTTATATCCCGGGTTGTGGGCGTGGCTTGGATTTAAAAAGTATATGTAAAAAGCCAGCCTATTCTGACGATTGCAAGTGTCTGCCAGAACAGCACACTGATAAAAATAGGCACCTTGTGACAAAAGATTGCATTCATTTGGCAAATATGCTTTCAGTTGAAATAAATTTCATTTATTTCAAATTAATTGACGTTCGGATGAGATATTGAGTGTGCTTGCGGCTACCTCTCGATTCATTTGGCTAATAATTATTTTGACTGAAAATAACTGCATTTAACTATAAGACCCTTTTTTCGAAATATTATGTAAAAGTAATATGCACTTGCTGCAAGTCGCAGGGAAAATCGAGGCGTTTCGCTACAGCACCTCGCACTCGTACCGAGATCGTGACACGAACTGACCCGACTGTCCCCGAGTCCATAGGTAGTGGTAGTGCTGCACGCTGACTCCGCCATTCTTTCTTTCTGTTTTCGCCCTTCAGCCCCTTCGGTTCATAGATCAGTGGAGTTTAGGTCGAGGGTCGAGGTCTCGTCGCGAGGCGTTCGTATGGTCCGAAATTTTTGAAAATGACAAAAAGTTGCAGTTTGAGTTGAAAATGGATTTGACAGCATTATTGGAGATGAGGAAAATAAGCCATTTACTGACGAATTTGAAGGTAAGTTTTTGTAAACCTTTCGACGCTTTTTTCCATTAACCAGGATTTGCATTAATAAAACCTTCCCAAACAATAATAATTTAACTAGTAAGTATATAACTTTGTTCATGCCAAAAAATTGTTTCAAGAAATGCCAATCTATAATTACATATTCCTGATTGAAAAGATAAGGAGCTTAGTTTTCCCATGGCCCATGGCGTCATGATTTAGATTTGTATAAATTTGACTTGTAAATAAAATTGCTGATAAACACTTATCCCAAAAGCAACAACTTTCTCACAAAAGAAAGCTTTATTTGACGAGAAGTTTTTAAATTTTGTAGTGAATTCCCCAGTTTTATCTCAAAAGCATAATAGCTTTGGGACAACTGTTTGTTGAATCCAATTTTTCATAAGAACTTTTAGTTATTTTGTTTGAATTATTGTTCAATATTATTATTATTGTTGCTGGTGTTTTTTAGGATCCAGCGCCATCCAAAAAAAATAAGTTAAATTCAGAGAGTGAGGAAGTGATTGACACAGGGCAGCAAAGTGTGTTTAACACCATAAACATTTACATCAACAATCCCGAATCACCATCAACCGGGCCATTAACCTTGGATTTTGAAAATATTCCTGTGATCCTAATTACTGAAGATGCGAAGGATCGGTTTGATTTCCCAGCTTCTTTTTCAGGATCGGAAATAGGAGATTCTATGTGTAGCGATGTGGCAAGCACAAGTTCAACTTCGTCTGAATATGTATTTAATTGTTCTAGTAATGGCCGTTTCCACTATTTCAGGGAAGCCTTAATGATAAGTATTAGGTATACCTTAAAATGACAGTCTTCCATGGAGAAATGTCAATCCAAGGAATACTCATCGTTAAGGCTTCCCCAAAATAATTGGTAGAATAGAAACGGCCATAAGTACCTCAAAATAAAAAAAAATTGAGAAAATTTTGTTTTTTTTAGTCTCCATTTAATTTATTTCAGTAAAATCCAATGGATTTCAATAAAAAATCCGTGTTTTGTTACAAGTTCCGAAATTCCTTATTTCAAAGATCAATGGATTTAAAATCAAAAATGGGAGTTTTGATTCGAATTAAGAAATCCTTTACCCAAAATCCAACAGATTTGAAGTGAAAGATTATTATATTTGGGTTAAAGTACTAGGCTTTTGAGAGAAGGTCTAAAGATTTTGCAGCAAGCCTCCAATCAATTGACTCAAAAACCACAAGCTTTTAAAACAAATATTTGCTGGTTTAACGTTAAAAGCATGCATTTGTTATGAAATCACAAAGTAGCTTGATATAAATGCAAATATCGTTAGAACAAAGAAATATCGCAGTCTTATCTCAAAGTATCGCCAAGTTTAATTTAAACCCTTCATTCATTTGGCCCATATCAAAGTCCTAATTTGTTTGATTGAATGTGAATTTCCTTTGAGGCAAAGTATTCTTTTTTTCAGTGCATGTAATAGTTATGACGCTCAATGGGAGTGCGAGCGCAACAGACATAATACGAGTTCCAATGTCAGAATGAGAGGATACGATATTATATTAGGAAGATATGACAAACGATTACTGAAATTGAAGATAAACAGAGTTATCTGCAACGTATAAATTTATATGATGGACAAATTCTTGGACACAAAATGGCTACTCAAAATATAAATTTCTCTTTTTCTTAACAAATATGGATTACTTATCGAATTTCATTTTTTGGAGAAGAAACAAAAATTTCTTATCGATAAATTGAAATAATGTATATTTTGCAATAAAATGAAAGATCTTTTCTTCCTGATTTCAAATATATACAGGGTGTCCGTTTTGATACCACTATTGCTATCTCGGAAACGGTAAGAGATACGAGGTCGGTTAAATTAGAAAAAAGTTGCCTTTTTTGATGCCCATCTAAGACTCGTTTACAGTGTGCCACATTCCTTTTAGTTTATGAAGTACAGGTTGATTTCTAAGAAAGGCCTAAAATTATTTCTTCAATTATTTTGAAAACTATTGATTTTCGGAACACAATTTAAATTTGAAAGTTTTATAATTTTTATCGCTTTACAACATAGCATCTTCAAATTTTAAATCCGACGTTTCGTGATCAAGCTACCATCATCAACTAATTTTTTTAAAATACGGACCTGGATTTTTTATGTCACTTTTAGAAACATCCTTTTATTTCCCTTCTCAACGATATACCTCTTAAGTATGATTGGGCGACGTTTCTGCTTTAAACGGTGATCATCAGTGATTTTTACCAAAATGTTACCTTAATTTGGCCCTGGAATTCGATATTTGTAACAAAGCCGGTCTAACAAGAGTTATTTCCCTTTTATTTAGAACACTTAGAATTATCTAATTATGAACAATATTGAAAATAATGACTCAGAAACTAATTATTATTGTGAATATGTACTCAAATTGACGTTCATTATTCCTTGAGCATCATCTGAAACTTATCAGCATTCTCGAGATTATCTTGCCGCAAGCAACAAAACATTTCGCGGCTTGGTATACAAATAACTATTATTTATTCTAGCACATGCAGCCCTTATCCTCTCTTTGAATTCTTATAATGTCTGGTATTTTTGTAAACTCCATAATGAAAATCACTGTACTGTACATAGTATTCATTTAACAATTATTATAAAATTAATAAATAATAAAGAAATGTTCGACAGGTTTCACTGCTGTCAATTTAATTTTTTTTAAGGCATTCTTTGATGAAATTTATTTACATTCAATATCAGTGATGCCAACCTGAATTTGTGAAATTATAAAATATGTACATAATTAGTTTCCAAGTAATTATTTTGATTATTGTTGAGAATTTCATACATCTGTCAAAACTGGTATTCCAACAATAAATTGACATGTTTTGATTGTTGATTTGAACCAATCAGATTGTAATTACGCGATAATTTGCACTAGTGCAAATTATCAGATAATTGCATACTAACTGGTGCGAAAACTGGTGTTTTGACATTTTTGACAAAAAATTTAAATTTTTGATTCATGAAATTCTCTCATTAAATACAACTCGTGCAATGGAAATATATCTATAATTTTCGACAAAGGATAGCGCACACCTAACATGGGATTTTTGGGCTGTATGGATTTTGCCTATTTTTTGATATGTTGTAGAGGATTTAATTCTTAACAACCTTTAAATGGGAAGAAATCTTGTAGGTATTACGGTCTCTGAGATATGAGTATTGAAAGATGAACTTTTTTGCGACTTTTTGTGTGGAGAGTATACGAAATACTGGTGTTTGTCAGTCAAAATATTGACAGGTTCACATATTTTACGTCACTAACAAATGTCAACATAGGCTAAGGCCGGGACCACACTGCGGCGTCAAAATTGGTCCCAATGCGGTCCCGGCCTTAGTTGATGTTGACAATTGTTGACATTAATTTGTTGT